AACCAAAATAACAATACTAGTTGAAGACAACACACTATCCTAAGCCTCAACATCCAACTCAAACGGAGGTCAAAAGGGACAGATCATAAGGAGTGGAGACTATACTCGATGATCTACGAGAAGATAACCAAATTAACCAAAATAACAATACTAGTTGAAGAGAACACACTATCCTAAGCCTCAACATCCAACTCAAACGGAGGTCAAAAGGGACAGAGCATAAGGAGTGGAGACTATACTCGATGATCCCAACAATAATAAAGTTAAACTACGAGAAGATAACCAAATTAACCAAAATAACAATACTAGTTGAAGAGAACACACTATCCTAAGCCTCAACATCCAWCTCAAACGGAGGTCACAAGGGACAGAGCATAAGGAGTGGAGACGTATACCTTTCCGAACAACCCCAAGTGTCTTCGGACTCCAGGGAGGACAACACTCGTCCTCTAGAAGTCACAACATATCGACTGCAGCAGCGTCGGTTACTCGAAGAAGATCGCAGCAGCGAGCGGAGTACAGTCTTGATGCGACCGAGGTTGCAACCACCAACATCCCCATCTGGGCTTCTAACTGGGAGTGTGTACGTCCTCCAACGAAATCCCAGTTAGAAAGGCCTCTTTTTCTTCTCTACCTTGTCCATGGGAGTGGCCAGGAGAGAGACCCTCGAACTTGCCGAAACCGTCCCCTTCAACCCTAGCGATGGCGAGTGCACACCGTGCCTCCGGCCGTCGGACCCATGCCATTTCTGGACATGGGGCGTGCACCTCGCACAGCGTTAGCGCACCTTGCGCAGCATCAACCATCCATATGCAACCAGTGAGTTTCCGTGTCGGCCATTGTAGGCCAGGTTCACATTTGTCCGTATCTGGGACTGGACCAGGCATTCGTCCGTTTGTGCTTGGCCCAGTCCTTAGGACCCTGCTGGATCAGCAGGGTTGCCTGGATGTCTGGTAGGGACCCAGGCAGGCCGTTTTTAGCCAGGGTAGTAGGACCAGGACTTGGGCCTACGATCAGGACCATCGATTGGACATCAGATCCAACAATCTTGATTGCAGACCGAGGGCTGCTCAGCCAGGCCCGGCGGTATACAGGTGGGCCAGTCCTCCACTTCGGACACACATGCGGGCTGGAGCCTCAATTGGGCATCACGCCACTGGAGCAGCGCCAGTTTGGGGAGAGCAGCGTTAGAGGAGTAGGGGAGCAGGCTGGAGTGGAGAGATTGGCAGAGGCCATGTCCACGAGGGAGAGGGAGACCTGGACGCCATAGCTGGGACTTCATACCGGTCAGGGGAACGGCCTTCAACAGTGACCTGCATCGGGAGTCGTCACCTTCGCTGGTCAGTATTTGTGGCATCCTCATCAGGAGCGCGCAAGAGAGGAGAGTTCTTCTTCTTCTTCTTCTTCTTCTCCTCCTCCTGATTCTTCTCCACTCCTCCATAGCCACTATTCTTCTTCTTCTCATCCTCCCTCTTTTCTTCTTCCTCTTCAGAGAGAGAGAGAGAGAGAGATTTCAGGTTCTTCTCCTCCTCCCTCTTTTCTTCTTCCTCTTCACAGAGAGAGAGAGAGAGAGAGAGAGAGAGAGAGAGAGAGAGAGAGAGAGAGAGAGAGATTTCAGGCAGTGACTATTTCGGGCCTATGTGCGCCCAGGATCAAATTCGGCATTTTTGAGGAAAGACATTGGCTAGACATTTGACGGGGAGACTTTCTTGGACGACTATTGTCTTCTCTCCCCTCTCCATCTTCGTCTCTTCTCCCCTTCATCATCCGTGGTTTCTTCCCCATGTGTGTGCGCAAGGAGGGACCTTTCTTCCGTGTATGATCTCCCTCCTTGCTGTGTGACATGTCTGATGATGATTGTGTGAGTTGAGTCTGGGTCTGATGTGTCAGGTCATATCTTTGAGTCTTCCGCTGTGCTACATTGCATTATATCGTCTTGTTTTGAGTCCTGTTCATCACACTGGCACTCCTTGGACATGTGCATCGCCCTTCTTCAGATGAGCCAGATGAGCATGCATCTCTCTCTCTCTCTCTCTCTCTCTCTCTCTCTCTCTCTCTCTCTCTCTCTCTCTCTCTCTCTCTCTCNCACACACACACACACACACACACACACACACACACACACACACACACACACACGTTGCAACATGTGAAGGAAGGTCGATAACGGGTGATGATCGTTAGTAACAGACATGTCACCTGGCATGTTGCACGTCACGCTCGTCCTCCTGGCCCACCACCTCAGCTCCCTCCTTCCTCTTCTTCTCCCTTCTCCTCCACCACTTCATCCACGTCTGTTGTCCCAGTGGCTTCTTCTCTCCTCGAGGTGGAAGTGAGAACCACAGGGTGGAGGAGAGAGGAGAGAAGAAGCCACTGGGACAACAGACGAGATGAAGTGGAGGAGAATTGAGAACAAGAGGAAGGAGGGAGCTGAGGTGGTGGGCCAGGAGGATGAGTGTGACGTGCACCATGCCAGGTGACATGTCTGTTGCTAACGATCATCACACGTTCTCGACCTTCCTTCACATGTTGCAACGTGTGTGTGTGTGTTTGAGAGAGAGAGAGAGAGCATCACATGTGCAGTGAGAGAGAGAGAGAGAGACAGCTTCACATGTACAATGAGAGAGAGAGCTTCATATGTACAGAGAGAGAGAGAGAGCTTCATATGTACAGTGAGAGAGAGAGAGAGCTTCACATGTACAATGAGAGAAAGAGAGCTTCACATGTATAGTGAGAGAGAGAGAGAGACAGCTTCACATGTACAACGAGAGAGAGAGAGAGAGATCATGGTGGCTCCTCAACGGTGCACAACACACGAATGTCGTCTAGCACCGTCAACGACAATTCACAGCAACTGTCAAGCTCAGTTAGTCATCTGGGTTGAACTGTGAGGTCCCTGAAATTGTTGTTATAATGAAATCTGTTTTTTTCCTGATCGGGAAAAACAAAATCTCACGATTTCTTTTCGTTTTCTTTTTCCCCATCATGTGAATGGGGACAGCCTTGAGATATCATCATGAAAATGGCCCGCCCCAAGTAATTTAGGAATTTCGTTCATCTGGTTACATCTGGATTCGCTCTCTTGTCCGCATTTCAACACATTTATGGGTGTACCAACTGAGCTAAACCCTCTGGTATTCTCACGATTTCCCTCACGCCGGGATCAGCGGGAAAAAATCCAGTTAGTGCTACCACATTTTTCCCACGTTTCTGGACTCCAAATTGTCCCAGATAAACTTAGGAAGCGCCAGTTCCGAACCGGGATCTGGACTGCAACGGCGGTCCAGCGGCAAAGGATTTTGGTTTGGTTTCCAGCGATACCCCCTTCTCCGACATTTTCCCTGGTCGAGGGGAGAAATTGAGAACGAATCCGGCCGCCAGATTGCGCTAGATTCGGAAGGCGGGAATTTGACTGATGGACAGAACCAATTTGCGATGTGGGAGCTTGGCTGAGAATGAATCGGGAAGAGGGGGAGGAAGGGAGGAGGAGAATCGGAATCGGGATTACGGGAAAAAGGAAGGGGAGGAGGGGAAGTAGGAAAACGGGATCGGGATGACGGGAAA